GCATCTGGCGGTTGAGAGGCCGATGCGAAGCGCTCACCGAAGGTGTTAAGTTCGTGGGAGGCCTCGCTGTATTCATCGCCTGATGAGAGGATCTCGACGTCCTCGGCGTCGCCTGGTACTCCGGCGGCTGTGGCAGCGTCGCCTTCGGAGTGGCCCCCGCCTTCTGCCGCCACCGTGCCATGCCGGGAGTCATGACCACCTGCTCCTGGGGCGGCCGTTTGTTCAGCGGCTCCGTCCGTGCCGTGCGGGGTTGCAGAGGAGCTGCGGCCTGGGGCGCAGTGTGACCTTGCGTGCGGCGGGGCGTCACGTTTCCCACTGGAGGATCGGTAGCGCTTGGCTAAAGGCTCCTCCTTGGGGATCAGGAGCGGTGCGACGCCTTTGCCTTTGGGCGTGGCAGTCATGAGGTCGTGGAGATAGGGGCTCTGGGCCGCTTTGGTGAGGAGTGTGCCGGCGGCGGGGCTGAAGCCGCCACCACGAGCTGGCGGCGTCACAGGCTCCGTAATGGTGGTAGGCGTGACGATGGTGACGTTGTCCCGCTTTGGCACCACCTCAGCCAACGGGGCCTCGGTGATGCTCCACGGGATGGGGCGCCCCGCAACTTGCACCGTGTATGTGAGTGGGGGCCGATGGGCACGCACTAAGGCAAACTGGGCCGCAGTGGCTGGGCCCCAGGCGGTGTGGTAGACCTCACAGTCCCATTTGACGGACGGGCCCGTGAGAGTCTTGGCGAGCTGGGTCAGCGTGGCGTGGCGCGCCGCAATGCCAGTGATGCGGTAGCGCGTCTTGGCGAGGGAAGCCTCGCAGCCGCGGATGCTGACGGCCGCAGCCCTGGCGGCGTCTGACCCCCGTGGAACACGGATCCCCAGTAAGCCTGACTTGCCGTGCCTGACGACTCCCAGGGCCTTGAACTCCACCGACTTCTGGAACGCATCTGCCATCGTGATGGGATGGTCCTCAGGGAACCACACGGTCTGATACTTGTCAGCGGTGGGCTCGTCAGCACCTACGTTGCTGAGGTCGTAGGTAGCGCCGAGTTGCCCTGATCCCGCCAAGACCTTGTCGACCGCTTGGAGACTGACGCCGAAGGTGGCGGCCAGGGACCTCTTCCCGACGCCCGATCCAAACCTGCCTAGGCTTTTGCAGGGTTCAAGGATGGTGACGGCTTTAAAGTTGCCGTGGAAGAGGGCCTTGAAGGTGTCCTGGAGCTGACTATCGAGCTCCTGGCGGCGAGCGTCTTTCTTGGACTCCCTGTGCTTTTGGTTTTGGCGCGCCTTGTCCTGTGGAGCGGAGTCCCCTCGAAAAGGGCCCTTGGCGCGTGGACCACCGTTCACGGGGGCACCTCCCGAGAACTGGTCCTCGAAGGCCTGATGCATGGAGGGGACTGCGGCGATGGCCTCGGTTTCATGTATGGTCGCCCGAATCCAGCATACGTGGTCGGCAGGGTCGATGGTGGCGACGGCTACTTTTTCCGTGCAGGCGACCTCCTTGGTGCCCAGCTGGTACACGGTCACGGGGACGTGCGTGTGGACCACTTTGGGCGCCTTGGGGTGACGCTTCAGGACGGGGACGGCGAGCTCGGTACCGACGTAGTTGTCGTTTTTTGGGCCCATGACAGCAATCGCGAGCTGGCCCGTGGTTCGCTTGCCCTGCTCGAGGTGGTGTTGGAGCAGCCGCTCACCGCTCTCGTAGTCGTGGAGGCTGATACTGGGCTTGTACGTCTTGCCGTCGTCGGGGGATGTGGGTTCGGCGAGGACGGGGACCTTCCAAAAGGCCGGGTCCAAGGCGATGAATTGGGTGTCCGCAGTCTGAAGACGTGCGGAACCCGCTGGTGGGTGTGATGTGTCGCCGCCAATGCGCTTAGGCTTGCTGCGCTGGTGATGGTCAAGCGTGTAGCTGATCTGGTTGGTGGCACACATGCGGATCAGGGCGCTGCCGAGCTTCTTCGTGTTGGACTTGTGCATGTCATACGTTGCCTGGAGCTCGTCCGCGTTCAGTTCGGCAAGCCCGTTGTATGCGGCCGTGGGGCGGTCAGACCCCGCTTGCTTGAACGCTGCGATGCAGTCCTGCTTGCGTTGGAGGAGAGATCCTTCAGCCGCAGGACGGGAACTCGGAGGCTGCTTGGAAGAGCGACGGCGGTCCGGCTTCTTGGGGGCCATTGCTGCGGGCGCTCTGGTGAGGAGAGGTGACGCGAATCAGTAGGGTCCTGCGGGGACCCCTCCGGTCTCGCGAGGCCTGGGAGTCTGGCTCCGAGGCGGGGCGCTTCGCGTCGCGGCTGCGGTCTGAGTGCTGGGCACTCTCGAGCCGAGACTAGAGAGAGAGAGAGAGAGAGAGAGAGAGAGAGAGAGAGAGAGAGAGAGAGAGAGAGAGAGAGAGAGAGAGAGAGAGAGAGAGAGAGAGAGAGAGAGAGAGAGAGAGAGAGAGAGAGAGAGAGAGAGAGAGAGAGAGAGAGAGAGAGAGAGAGAGAGAGAGAGAGAGAGAGAGAGAGAGAGAGAGAGAGAGAGAGAGAGAGAGAGAGAGAGAGAGAGAGAGAGAGAGAGAGAGAGAGCGAGAGAGAGAGAGAGGGGAAACAAAAAAAAGAGAGACTGACGGCGCCACGCCACCCCCCTCCCCCCTCAGGTCCCGACGCGCGTCCTCTGGCGTGCGCTCCAGCGCGTCGTCGGGCACGTGAAACTCCCCCGGCTCGCAGTGAGTCAAACTCAAGGACCTGTGACCCGCCGCGTGTTGGACCAGAGGACGTCGAACCTTGTCATGATCTCCCAGCTCTATCTCATCGCTGCCCATGTCGATCAGCGCGCGCATCATTTCTAGCAGTCGAGCTGGGAGGAGCGGGGGGCAGCGCCCGGGGAGGGCGAGAAATTCTACCACTCCGCACTTCCAGATGCTAACTGGGACCCATGCTCTCGCCACTGGGTTGACTCTTCCTCCAGCGCCGCCGCGCGTGACTCCTGGAACGGGGCCCTCCTTGCCCAAGATTAGAAATCCTCGCCGTTCGAATGCCGCCTGCATCACCTCGAGGCCCTCGCGTCCTATCAGAGCCTGGCCGGCAGCCGCGTCAACAGGAGCGCGGTCGCCCAGCTGCCTCAGGGGCAGCTCCAGGCCGCCGACGTGCAAGGTCTCCAGGAGTGAGTTCCAGTCGCTGACCTCGATGAAATTCTCGGCGTCGGGCATCGCGTCCAGAAAGAAGCTCTTGCCCGCGGAGTCCCTCTTGTTCTTCTCTGCTGCTATGCGATCCGCTTCCGACTTGAAGGGGCTCTTGCACGACTCCGCCCACTGACCGCGTTCTCCACAGTTCGCGCACCTGGCGCGCTTCTTCGCATCCGTCATCATCAATCGCTTGAATCCTGGTCGAGCCGCTCGATTGCGATCGAAAAAGTCCCTGTCCACCTTCTGTGCCGCCGTGAGACGTCGGGCCTCTGCCCAGGTCCGTCTCTTCTCCTTCCCGAGCCGATCCCCCGCCGCCGCCGTGAAGATCTGCAGAACATCCGTCTCTCCAAGATCCTGCTCGTCGGGGGTGGCCAGCAAAGTGTCCGCGTCTTCCTCGGGCAGCTCCGCCGAGTCGTCTATCTCGATCAGGCACGCATCTCGAACCTCGTCGTCATATGGCTCGGGCGGCGGTGGAACCGACTCAGTGACCTCGGCTGCGAACGACTTAGCCACCGGGGTACGGGTCGTCGGGAGTAGCGGCTGATCTCTCACGTCCAGCTTGTGGATGGCCGCCCGTGTGGATGTGAAGTCGTCTTTTCCTCCGGCCAACGACCTCATGTTGATCTTATTCTGGGCCGACAGACATGCTCCTTCCTCGATGTATCTGGACTTTATCGGATCCGGCAGCGCGAGGTCATATCGCTCTGCTTCGGCGATCTCCGCGTCACGCCTCAGCACGCACACTGTCAGTGACTCGCCCTTCTTGATCATGTAATTGAAGAGGGCCGCGTTGTGGGCGAGACGCTCTCGGTCTCCTGGACGCTCGCCGCTCAGCAGGGCGAGGTGCTTCAAAAACTTGTATGCGTCCGGCTCGTGCCGAATCGTCCTGAAGTTGAGCTGCAGCTCCACTGGCAGTCCTTCTAATATGCGCCCCGCCCTCGTCTCCGGCTTGAAATCAGTCCTTCGAGTCCACGCCTGCATGTTGTGTCGGTACGTCTCAAGATTCTCGAAGTTCAGCCTGGAGGGCGGAACGCCAAAGTCTCTGTTAGGCGGCTCCTGCTGGTTGGTCCACGCGGGGCCCGACGATGACCACCCGTCGTCGCGTGCCCAGCTCGATCCTCGGTTGGATCCCCACCACCACCACTATGCGTCCTGCCACGAGCTCCACCAATCCTTCCACGGGTCGTCCGCCGCCGTCGCAGGTGGGGACACAGCAGCAGCGGGGGCCGCGGCCTCGTCGTCGGCGCCTCGTGGTTTCTCTGGGGTGGGTACATCTCGCCACGGGTCTCCTCCCTCCGATTGTGCGTCTTGCTGCTGCCCTGGAGCGCTCGCACCCGGAACGCCCGTCTTCTCCGCTAGCTTCTCCGACATAGCTCCGCTTACCACTGTCACTGAACTATGGACACATGGATCTGGTGGGTCGAAAGCGCGAGGGATGGGAGGGCACTTTTCCAGGACACGGGCTCCTGAGCATACAGCGCGAATCGCACCTAAGCCAAACTGGCTATACCACGGGGGCGATGGGAGATCCAAAGGGAGAGGGAGGAGAGCACACACGCCGGGCCCACAAGGGCCCTCGGGCAACACCATATGTGGCACGAGACGTGTGAAGGGTGTGCACAACCGGGTGTGGTGGTGCCATGCGGGCGCTGCCACTGGGGCCTTAGGTGCAGCTCCCTGTGGGGCCACGAAGCGCCCGAGGGGAGTGCCGAAACGTGCGTGGTGGTGCCATGTGGGCGCTGCCACTGGGGCATTCGGTGCAGCTCCCTATGGAGCCACGAAGCGCTTGAGAGGTGTGCTGAAAAGGGCGCGGTGGAGCCATGCGGGCGCTGCCACTGGGGCCTTCGGTGGGGCTTGCGTGATGGAGTGTATCAGCATGTGTTTCCCATGATTCTCTCTGGGGGCTGAGAATGCGATCTCCGCACCCCTCCTCCCCCCCTTCATCCCACATGCAGCTGCAATATCGGGGCCGCCCTGCCGCCGGACTCAAGGGTCCCATCGCAAGCGCCGCGGGCCTGCGTTTCCGTCGGCTCCGGCTTCTTCTCTTTTCCTCGCCCTCTTTTCGTCTCTTTCCCGTGTCCTCCTCGCAAGGGTCCCAACTCATCCCAATGCCTCCTCTTACCCTTTTGCTGGAAAGACACGTGGCAAAATGTTGGCTGTCGGATCTGCCACACTCTGTGTTGGTCCGAAGTGTTGAACAAATCGCCGCGCGAAGGCAAACGATGGGACGCGACTCGCCCGAATTGGCCGCAATACAGACCCAGACCCCCGACGTCGTTGCTTTTCACGCGCGGCCCCCTCTGAAATCTCGACCGCGACGCCACCCAAGACAATCTCTTCCGCAGCGGGTAACTTCCAAATCATAATTTTCACTAAAGGGTCGTAGCGGGGACTGAAGAACTAGGTGCTGGTCGTGGCCCAGCAGGGCGTAGCGAGGCGCAGCAGAGCCTAGCAGTGCCCAGCAAGGCTTAGCAAGACTTAAAAGGGCATGGCACGGCTTTGCGATATTGGGCAGGGCTTATCAGGGCCTAGCCCAGTTAAGCCAGGCTTATCAAAACTTTGCAAGGTATAGCAGGGTTCAGTAGTGCGCAACAAGGCCCAACAGAACCCAGCACGGCTCAGCGAGGCGTAGCAGGGCTTCGCGAGCAGGCACAAGGCACAAGGAGGGAATGATTCAGAGCCGCCCCTATTCCCCAGAGAAGGCCGCCCGCAAGAACATTTGTTGTTACAATTCGACCCTATCAACAACAATACCCTTTCCCCGAAGCAATCGGTCCACGCGTGTGTTTCTAAATTGCCCAAATGGACCCTTCCCGGAATCCCTCTGGCCCAGGGTGCCAAACAAAAATAAGACGGCTAGCAGATCCGCGCGCATTCCCCGAAAGTGCAGCGGTTCGCGACGGGGTGGGTGACCAAAATAATAAAGCCGTTGCCAGAGATTCCCGACGCATTCTGGCCAAAGAAATGGGGGTCCGACAAAGCGGCGTGCGGGGGCGGGCCCCGACGATCCCCCGCTTCCACGGCAGGGACCGGGTGAATTGAAAAATTGCCACCCGCAGTTCACCCAAAACTCAGGGCGGGGGTGCGCGGTATTTAACGACTGCAATGACACCGAATGGCGCCGACGACGGCGACGACGACGACGACGACGGTCCGCCGACGCCGCCGCCGACGACGAGGACGAGGACAACGATGACGACAACGACGACGGACGACGACAACGCAACACAACGACAACGACATGTTCCCTTGCAGCGCGCAACGCACAGTTGACCCGCCAGCGGGTGGGTCACCCGAAGACTGGTTGGGAAAAGCCATGCACCTGGGGCGTCAACATGAATTTCTGCACTCCTACTCCATAGGTTTCCTTGCGTAGCGAGCACCGCACAGGTGACCCACCAACGGGTGGGTGACCGAAAACTAAATGAGGAAAACCGATTCGTCCACTTGCATTTTGGGCCTCAACATGAATTGGTGCAGTCCTGCTCCATATGGTTCCTTGCGTGACGCGCAACGCAGAAGGGGCCCACCAAAGTGTGGGTCACCCGGAAACTCTGGTTCATGCGCATTCTGGGTGCATTCCTACCCCATGTGTTTCCCTGCGTAGCACGCAACGCAGAGATGGCCCACCAACGGGTGGGTCACCCGAAAAGCAGTCGGGGAAAACAAATGGCTTCACTTGTAGCGCGCAACGCACAGGTGAGCCACCAGCGGGTGGGTCACCCGAAAGATGGGTGGGGAAAAACCAACCGTTTCACTTGCATTCTGGGCCTCAACATGAATTCGTGCATTCCTGCTCCACACGTTTCCCTGCGTAGGGCGCAACGCACAGGTGACGGGTGGGTCACCCGAAAACTACTTGGGAAAAACCAATCGGTTCGCTTGCGCGCTGGGCCTCAACGTAAGTCTGTGCACTACTACTCCATATGCTGGCGGGTTCCCTTCGTTCATCAGGCTCGGCTCGCCGAAAAAGCCAAAACAAGAAAAGCAAACAAATCAAGAAAAGCAAATCAATGTCATGTAATATTACGAATAAGTGGTATATATTTCTTGCGTATTATGATTTATTCGTGAACATTCTGGAAATATGTGTGCAATAATTATGAATATATGAAAATAGATAGTAACCGTTTGATTTCATTGTTTTGGATAATATTGCACATACGAGTGATCGTGACAGTAGTAGTAGTAGTAGTAGTAGTAGTAGTAGTAGTAGTAGTAGTAGTAATCGTCGCCGTCGTCGTAGTAGTAATAGTAGTCGTAGTCGTAGTCGTAGTGAGACTACACTTATTTGAGTAATAGTAGTCGCAGCAATCAACAAATATCCACACATGTACATAAACTACATATATATGAGTGCACACATATATATATATATATATATACACACGTACTAGAACCACGCGCGCGCTTCGCGCGCTTAGGTTCTAGTCGACTCCGACAATGGTGTCCGCAGGCATCGCAAGCATCCCAGGATACGGTGGGACAAGTATCCCAGGCGTACACCGCCTTTCTCTCGCGGGTGCGCGGAGCCTCCTGGGGGGTGCCTCGGGGTCCAGGGCGGTCGCGGGGCCGCCTGAGAGCGCCATGGGACGCACCGGAGGGCCCTTGGGAACCATCTGGGGGGGGTCTGGGGGGCCTCTTGGGAGCCTTTTGGGGGTTGTCTGGCGGTGTCGTCGTCCTTGGGGCGTTTCTTGGGGGTCTCCTGGGGCCGTCTTGTACTCTCTTGGGGGTCTCTTGAGCCGTCCGTCTCGAAGTTGTTTTGGGCCGTGTTGGGGCTCTCTTGGGGGCTTCTTGAACCGTCATGGGGTGATCTTGACGGCTTCTTTTCCTGTCTAGGGCAGCTGGGAGCCAGGAACAGCAAGAACGCATCAACATATAAAACACTCGAACACGAGCTCCTTCCTAGGGGGTCCTCTCGGGGCGTCGGGGAGGCTTCTGGAACCTTGGGCCGTCTTCGCGCGGATTGGAACCTGCCCAGGGCGCCCCAAATGCATTCTTGGGCTGTCTTGGGCTGGTCTGGAGGGCGTCTGGAGCCGATCGGGCGCGCTCGGAGCCTCTGGGGTGGCCCCGACCCCCCATGTCAACCCGTTGTCCCCGTCCGGGCATTCGCCTCCTATTCGTCGTCCTCCTCCTTCTCCTCCTCCTCGTGCTCCTCCTGACCCTCCCGTTCCTGCTCCTGCTTCTTCTCCTCCTCCTCCTCCTCCCCTCCTCCTCCTCCTCCTCCTCCTCCTCCTCCTCCTCCTTCTCCTCCTCCTCCTCCTCCTCCCCTCCTCCTCATCCTCCTCCTCCTCCTCCTCCTCCCCCCCTCCTCCTCTCCCTCTTCCTCCCTCCCGTCCGATTCCGTCTCTCCGCCCGTCTCCCTCGGGGAGCGCCGCGGCGTGCGCGGCGGGCAGCGCCTGTCGCCCCCTCCTCCTCCGCCTCCTCCTCATCCTCCTACTCCTTGCCCTCCTGTTCCTCGACCTCGCCCTCGTCTTCGTCCTCGTCCTCCCGGTGGTCTGGGGGGTGGAAGCATAAGAAATCATGTTCCCGAAAAGCTTTCTGGGGAAATGATGTTGGGATGTCTCGGGGGGCATCTGATGGCTTCCCTTGGGGGACCCTTGGGGACCTCCTGGGACTTCCTGGGGGGCTCATCCTCATCGTCGTCATCGTCATCGTCATCGTCATTGTCGTCGTCGTCGTCATCATCATCAGCATCATCATCATCATCAGCAGCAGAATCAGCATGAGCATGAGCATCAGCAGTATCGTCATCATCAGCAACACCATCATCATCAGCACTATCATTATCATCAGCATCATCATCATCATCCTCATCATCATCATCGTGGTCGTCGCCATCGTCGTCAGCATCATCAACACCATCACCATCACCATCACCATCACCATCACCATCACCAACACCATCACCATCATCATCACCATCAGATTCACCATCATCATCATCATCGTCGTCATCATCATCAGCAGTAGCAGCAGCCATCAGCATCGCATGGGCCGCCGCAGAGGCGTTTCCGAGCGTGGCGGCAGGTAGCGGTGCGTGGGACTCTCTGAGGGTGGTTCCTGGTAGGCGTTTAGGGATCATGATTTGGGCGGGGGGCGGCGGCTAGCGCAATCATGCTCTGGGAAAGCTTGCTGGGAACATGATTTGTTAGGCTATATTGTGGGGCCTCTAGGAACAGACCTGAGGGCCCATTCGGTTCCTGCTTGGCAGGCATTTTGGGGTCAAATGGTGTGGGCGGGGAGCGGACGCCTGAGGAATCATGCTCCAGGCAAGCTTTCTGGGAACATGATTTGTCGGGCTGTCTTGGGGGGCCTCTGGGCGCGTATATGAGGGCCCATTGGGGGGCTGCCCGGCAGGCATTTTGGGACTCATGGTTGGGGCCGGGGGCGGAAGCCTGAGGAATGATGTTTCCGGGAGGCTTCCTGGAAACATGATTTGTTGGGGTGTCTTTGGGGGCCTCCGGGGGCTTCGGGGCCTCACGCATTTTCCGAGCGTGGCGGCAGCTAGCGCTGCTTGGGACTCTCGGAGGGTTTTCCTGGCAAGCGAGGGAACATAATTTGGGCGAGGGCGGCAACTCGATAAATCATGTTCCCGGGAAGCTTTCCGGGAACATGATTTGTTGGGCTGTCTTGGGGGCCTCAGGGGGCGTATCTGGGGACCCACTGGGGCCTTCCCGGCAGGTATTTGAGGAACATGGATGGGGCGACCATATTCCGGGACAGCTTTCTGGGGACATGATAGTTGGGTGGGGGCTTACCTGGGGGCCCCTGGAGGCCTTCCTGGCAGGCCGTTTGGGAACATGGTTGGGGCGGTGGGCGGAAGCCGAAGGAATCATGTTCCCAGAAAGCTTTCTGGGAACCTGATTTACTGGGGGGTCTTGGAGGCCCGCTGGGGCCTTCCCTTGGGGCTCCTTCGGGGCCTATTGGGGCTTCCGGGGGCCTCTTGAGAGCCTCACGGGGCTTCTTGGGAGCCTCTTGATGGCCTCCAGGGCCTGGGGGCCTCTAAGGCGCGCGCGCGCCGGAGACCTTGAAATGTCGCGTTCTTGGGGCCATCTTGGGTCGCTCTTGGGGCCTTCTTGG